TTCAAATTTTGGGAAAAAAACGGAAATTTTGGGAAGAAACCCAGATTTTGGAGAAAAAATGTGAATTTTGGGGGAAAAAAAGTGAAATTTCAGGGTAAAATGAGGTGGAATTCAGGTTTTGGGGATGGACAGCTGGGTTTGGGGTGAAACAGGTGGGATTTGGTAAAATAGTTCAAATTTTTGGGATAAAAACCAAAATTTTAGGGGAAAAACCCCAGATTTTGGGGAAAAAGCCCCAAATTTTAGGAAAAAATGGAAATTTTGGGGAGCAATGAACCGGATTTGGGTAAAATCGGCTGGAATTTGGGAAACAGCTGGAATTTGGGAAAAAATGGAATTTTGGTGTCCTTTAGGGATTCCAAATCCCTTTTTCCGGGATTTTTGTGCCTTTTTAGGGATCCCAATCCCATTTTTCCAGGTTTTTGGGTTTCCCAATCCAAATTTTCCAGGTTTTTGGGTCTCCTAATCCAAATTTTCCAGGTTTTTTTTTCCATTTTTCCAGGATTTTGGTGCCTTTTTAGGGATCCCAACCCCATTTTCCAGGTTTTGTGTCTCCCAATCCAAATTTTCCCGGATTTTGTGTCTCCCGGCCCCATTTTTCCAGGTTTTTGTGTCTCAATCCAAATTTTCCAGGATTTTGTGTCTCCTGGTTCCATTTTTCCAGGTTTTTGCCTCTTCGAACCCCATTTTTCCAGGTTTTCTGTCTCCCAATCCAAATTTTCCAGGTTTTTGCCTCTTCCAACCCCGTTTTCCCAGGTTTTTTGTGTCTCCCAGTCCAAATTTTCCAGGTTTTTATTTCTCCTGGTTCCATTTTTCCAGGTTTTTGCCTCTTCCAACCCCGTTTTTCCAGCTTTTTTCATCTTCTAACCCCATTTTTCCAGGTTTTTGTGTCTCAATCCAAATTTTCCAGGATTTTGTGTCTTCCAACCCCATTTTTCCATGTTTTTGTGTCTCCCAGCTCCATTTTTCCAGGTTTTTTCCTCTTCCAACCCCATTTTTCCAGCTTTTTTCCTCTTCCAACCCCGTTTTTCCCAGGAATTTTCGTGATCCCAAGGGATTTTCCCTGTTTTCCAGCTCTCCTGGCGGGTCTGACCGGCGCCGCCCAGCAGGTCCCGGCCGTTTCCTCAGTTTCCCNTTTCGTGATCCCAAGGGATTTTCCCTGTTTTCCAGCTCTCCTGGCGGGTCTGACCGGCGCCGCCCAGCAGGTCCCGGCCGTTTCCTCAGTTTCCCCTGGCACGTTCCCAAATCCCTTTTCCAGGATTTTTATGTTCCTAAATCCCTTTTCCAGGATTTTTATGTTCCTAAATCCCTTTTCCCAGGATTTTGGTGCCTTTTTAGGGATTCCAACCCCATTTTTCCAGGTTTTAATGTTTTCCAGCCCCATTTTTCCAGGTTTTGTGTCTCAATCCAAATTTTCCACATTTTTGTGTCTCCCAACTCCATTTTTCCAGGTTTTTTGTGTCTCCCAATCCAAATTTTCCAGGATTTTGTGTCTTCCAACCCCAATTTTCCAGGATTTTGTGTCTCCCAATCCAAATTTTCCCAGATTTTGTGTCTTCCAACCCCATTTTTCCAGGTTTTTGTCTCTTCCAGCCCCATTTTTCCAGGTTTTGTGTCTCCCAATCCAAATTTTCCACGTTTTTGTGTCTCCCAGCTCCATTTTTCCAGGTTTTTGCCTCTTCCAACCCCGTTTTTCCAGCTTTTTTCATCTTCTAACCCCATTTTTCCAGGTTTTTGTGTCCCAATCCAAATTTTCCAGGATTTTGTGTCTCCTGGTTCCATTTTTCCAGGTTTTTGCCTCTTCAACCCCATTTTTCCAGGTTTTCGTGTCTCCCAGCCCCATTTTTCCAGGTTTTTGTGTCTCCCAGCCCCATTTTTCCAGGTTTTTTGTGTCTCCCAGCTCCATTTTTCCAGCTTTTTTCATCTTCTAACCCCATTTTTCCAGGTTTTTGTGTCTCAATCCAAATTTTCCAGGATTTTGTGTCTCCTGGTTCCATTTTTCCAGCTTTTTTCCTCTTCCAACCCCATTTTTCCAGCTTTTTTCATCTTCTAACCCCATTTTTTCAGGGTTTCCCCCATTTTCCCAGGAATTTTCGTGATCCCAAGGGATTTTCCCTGTTTTCCAGCTCTCCTGGCGGGTCTGACCGGCGCCGCCCAGCAGGTCCCGGCCGTTTCCTCAGTTTCCC